AAATACACTTAAATCGGTACGAACACTTTGACGGTTGAAAAAAAACAAAAAAGAAAGAGAAATAATGATCATGCCATCAGGTACAAAGAGTGCAATCACAGCACTAGTCTTGTCCCAGAAATGGCTAGAATTTTCTTGGGCCGAGGGGAAATTGTCAACCTAAGCTTGGTACCCATTTAAAATGATAATGGTTCAGGACCAAATTTCCGAGATTGGGCTTTATTATGACCCAACTTGAATTTGGGTGGTCAAAAGAAGCCTCACACAAAATGAGGTGCAGGTGCAGACCCAGAACTAACCTTAATCTATATATGACTAATTAAATTCGACATGAAAACGATATAAAATTAGTGCATTAAATTTAGTCTTCTTAAATTTGGGTGATATACGGATGAACTCGTCAAACTCATCCAAAAGATGGGTTTACACAACTCGGTTAATACAAGACTTACACTGACATGAACCCGATCATACAATATAAGCTGATCAGTTTTTAACTTGACCGAATACGACATACACGATTTAAGAATATGATTAAAATTATCTATTGACAGCTCTACCATTGGGCTTCTGGTTAACAAGAATTTGATAATTGCACTTAAAGTGTGTTTTTCCCTCCCAAATTTAGTCTTATTACTAAATGAGTCATATCGAAAATAATTTTTTAGTATTGCATCTCCTCGTTTCACCAATAAAAAAAGAAAGTGTTAAATTTATTTATTTTAATCCTATTACCATCTACATTATAATTAAGTCAATGACTAAAATTTATTTTTATACTTTTCGTATTTTTATCCTGACCTATCATAGAGTCGTTTTGCATCGAGTAAACTAAATAAATAATCCTCAAATTATGAATTTTGTATTAATTAAATTTTTGAATTTTTTTTTTTATGTTAATTGAGTTTTTGAATTCTTTAATTGTGTTAATTGAGTCATTACGTTTACCTTCATTAGAGTGTGTTACTCACGTGACTATATGAAACAAAAAGATAAAAATGTTCAATTAACAGAATTAGAGAGTTTAGGAGTTCAATTGACACATAAAAAAAATTCAAAGATTTAATTGACACAAGAGTCATTAATTGAGGACCATATGTATAATTTAGTCCATTATGTGACACACTTCATCACTTTTCGTTAAAAAATCTAACGGAGACAGATAAAATGATTCAGTTGACATAATTAAAAATTCCGAAGGCTCAATTGACAGAAAAAAAAAAAAAAATTCAAAAACATGAATAATAATTTAAGGTGTGTTTGGTAACGTTTTCGTTTTTATATTTTTTTTATAAAAAAAACAAAAATTAATTTTATTTTTTTGGTGATAAAAATAAAAAATATATAACATGTTTGGTAGTCATTTATATTTAAAAAATTGTGAAAACAAAAATAAAAAACTTGTTTGGTATTATACCAAAAATTCACCACTTAAACCCCACCACCCAACCCTTACTGACCACCCAAAACCATCACCCAACCCCACCACCGAAACCCACCCCCAACCTCACCACCGAAACCAACACCACTGACCACCGAAAATCACCCTACTGACCACCACCAAAAACCACTACCCAACCCCATCCTTGAAAACCTACGCCCAAAAACCCCACCCCCACCATCGAAATCCACTACCCTAATGCCCCAAAATTCACCACTTATTTAAATATATAGACAATATACATAAATTTAGGACTTGAGAAGGCAATTAAGAGAGGCGATGACATGTTCCCCCCCCCCCCC